CCGTGTGGGTTACCGTGTGAGTGAGTGTGTGGGTGACCGTGTGGGTGACCGTGTGGGTGAGCGTGTGAGTTAGTGTGTGGGTGAGCGTGTGAGTGAGTGTGTGGGTGAGTGTGTGGGGGTAAAGGTTTGTGGGTGACCGTTTGGGTGACCGTGTGGGTGACCGTGTGGGTGAGTGTGGTGGTGACCGTGTGGGTGAGTGTGGTGGTAAGCGTGGGGGTGACCGTGGGGGTGACCGTGTGGGTGAGTGTGGTGGTGACCGTGTGGGTGACCGTGTGGGTGACCGTGTGGGTGAGTGTGGTGGTAAGCGTGGGGGTGACCGTGGGGGTGACCGTGTGGGTGAGTGTGGTGGTGACCGTGTGGGTGACCGTGTGGGTGACCGTGTGGGTGAGTGTGGTGGTAAGCGTGGGGGTGACCGTGGGGGTGAGCGTGGTGGTGACCGTGTGGGTGACCGTGTGCGTGACCGTGTGGGTGAGGGTGTGGGTTAACGTGTGGGTGAGCGTGTGAGTGAGTGTGTGGGTGACCGTGTGGGTGAGCGTGTGAGTGAGTGTGTGGGTGACCGTGTGGGTGACCGTGTGAGTGAGTGTGTGGGTGAGCGTGTGGGTGAGCGTGTAGGTGACCGTGTGGGTGACCGTGTGGGTGAGGGTGGGTTACCGTGTGGGTGAGCGTGTGAGTGACCGTGTGGGTGGGTGAGTGTGTGGGTGACCGTGCGGGTGAGCATGTGGGTGACCGTGTGGGTGAGTGTGGGGGTGGGGAGAGGTCATGGGCCACCTCCTCCAGAGCGAAGTAGGGCTCCTCAATCTCCCGCATGGGGTCGTTGAGGTACAGCTCCATGAAGCGACGCACTTTCGACACGTCGTTGGCCCAGCTCTCCTGCGTGCAGCCACGGCGGCAAGGACAACAACACAACAACAGCAACAACACACGCGGATATCAACATCAATAACAACATGAACAATCACAACACAACATCATCGCTCTCTCTCCTCATCATGGTGGAATTTAGGAGACCCATAGACTCATCACACAGCAGAGAGCCAGAGACTCATCACACAGCAGAGAGCCAGAGACTCATCACACAGCAGAGAGCCATAGACTCATCACACAGCAGAGACCCATAGACTCATCACACAGCAGAGACCCATAGACTCATCACACTGCAGAGACCCATAGACTCATCACACAGCAGAGACCCATAGACTCATCACACAGCAGAGAGCCATAGACTCATCACACTGCAGAGACCCATAGACTCATCACACAGCAGAGAGCCATAGACTCATCACACAGCAAGAGCCATAGACTCATCACACAACAGAGAGCCATAGACTCATCACACAGCAGAGAGCCACAGACTCATCACACAGCAGAGAGCCAGACTCATCACACAGCAGAGAGCCACAGACTCATCACACAGCAGAGCCATAGACTCATCACACAGCAGAGACCCATAGACTCACACAGCAGAGCCACACTTACACACACGTACACACACACACGTACACACACACAGACCCACACGTACACACACACACACGCACACACACACACATGTACACACACACACACGTACACACACACACACGTACACACACACACACATGCTCTGCCGCTAACTCACCTTCTGGTCCCAGATGAGAAACTTCTGAAACTCATCCAGAGGAATGCGGTTCCTGCGGACGAGAAAAAGAAAAACGCGCAAAAGGTAAAAGTGCCGTACAGCTCGTGGGTAAACACACCCACAGGAGCTAATGACACGGGAGTCAGTTGTGAGTGTGAAGGGACTGGTGGTTAAGGGAGGTAATGACAGGGGAGTCAGTTGTGAGTGTGAAGGGACTGGTGGCCATGGGAGGTAATGACACGGGAGTCAGTTGTGAGTGCGAAGGGACTGGTGGCCACGGGAGGTAATGACAGAGGAGTCAGCTGTGAGTGTGAAGGGACTGGTGGCCACGGGAGGTAATGACAGGGGGGTCAGTTGTGAGTGCGAAGGGACTGGTGGCCACGGGAGGTAATGACAGGGGGTCAGCTGTGAGGTGAAGGGACTGGTGGCCACGGGAGGTAATGACAGGGGGGTCAGCTGTGAGTGTGAAGGGACTGGTGGCCACGGGAGGTAATGACAGGGGGGTCAGTTGTGAGTGCGAAGGGACTGGTGGCCACGGGAGGTAATGACAGGGGGGTCAGTTGTGAGTGCGAAGGGACTGGTGGCCACGGGAGGTAATGAGAGGGGAGTCAGCTGTGAGTGCAAAGGGACTGGTGGCCACGGGAGGTAATGACAGGGGAGTCAGTTGTGAGTGTGAAGGGACTGGTGGCCACGGGAGGTAATGACACGGGAGTCAGTTGTGAGTGCGAAGGGACTGGTGGCCACGGGAGTTAATGACAGGGGAGTCAGCTGTGAGTGTGAAGGGACTGGTGGCCATGGGAGGTAATGACAGGGGAGTCAGTTGTGAGTGTGAAGGGACTGGTGGCCACGGGAGTTAATGACAGGGGAGTCAGCTGTGAGTGTGAAGAGACTGGTGGCTACGGGAGGTAATGACAGGGGAGTCAGCCTGCAGTGTGAGTGGACTGGTGGCCACGGGAGGTAATGACAGGGTAGTCAGCTGTGAGTGTGAAGGGACTGGTGGCCATGGGAGGTAGTGACAGGGGAGTCAGTTGTGAGTGTGAAGGGACTGGTGGCTACGGGAGGTAATGACAGGGGAGTCAGCTGTGAGTGTGAAGGGACTGGTGGCCACGGGAGGTAATGACAGGGGAGTCAGTTGTGAGTGTGAAGGGACTGGTGGCCACGGGAGGTAATGACAGGGGAGTCAGTTGTGAGTGTGAAGGGACTGGTGGCCACGGGAGGTAATGACAGGGGAGTCAGCTGTGAGTGTGAAGGGACTGGTGGCCACGGGAGGTAATGACAGGGGAGTCAGCTGTGAGTGTGAAGGGACTGGTGGCCACGGGAGGTAATGACAGGGGAGTCAGCTGTGAGTGTGAAGGGACTGGTGGCCACGGGAGGTAATGACAGGGGGAGTCAGTTGTGAGTACACAGAGATTCAGAGACCCATAGACACTCACAGGAACTCAAAGACCCATAGAGACTCACATAGACTTAGAGACCCATAGAGATGCACAGCGACTCAGAAACCCACAGAGACTCAGAGACCCAGAGACTCAGAAACTCACAGAGACTCAGAGACCCATAGAGACCCACAGAGACTGACAGAGACTCGCAGAGACTCAGATACCCATAAAACGCACAGAGACTCAGAGACCCATAGAGACCCACAGAGACTCACAGAGACTCAGAAACACACAGAGATGCACAGAGACTCACAAGACCCATAGAGACGCACACTGGCGCACGGGGTAAATGCTGTGTGTACCTGAAGCTCACGGACAGACCCTGTTCCAGGAGATGCTGCAGGATCTGTAAGACAATGAGCACAGCGTAGCCCCTGTTATTGCAACTCCGCTAGTCTATGGGACGTCCGGTAACAACAACAGATACAAACACGTGGCCAAAGCTGCAGTGCACCACCATCATCATCATCACCACCATCATCGTCGTCATCACCACCACCATCGTCATCATCACCACCATCATCATCACTGTTATTATCACCACGATCATCGTCATCATCACCACCATCATCATCATCACCGCCAACACCATTGTTATTATCACCACAATCATCATCATCACCGCCACCACCATCGTCATCGTCATCATCACCACGATCATCGTAATCGTCACCACCATCATCATCGTTATCATCACCACAATCATCGTCATCATCACCACCATCATTGTCATCACTACGATCATCATCATCACTACGATCATCATCATCATCATCACCACGATCACCATCATCACCACCATCGTCATCATCATCACAATCATCATCATCACCACAACGATCATCGTCATCATCACCACCCATCATCATCATCACCACCACATCACCGCGGACAACCACACCCCACCAACGCCGCCACCACCACCACCGTCACCGCCATCGGCACTCACCACACGCTGGCGTCAAACATGAGGTTCTTGTAGAAAAGTGCAAACTGCTCAAAGGACATTTCTGTTGGGCTGGCTCCACCATCCTGCACACAGCACACACACAGCACACCCACAACACAGCACACACACAGCCACCAGCACGTACAGCACCACAGCACATACAGCACACACACACATAGCACACACACACAACACACACAGCACCACACAGCACCTCCGGTTAGCACAGTTGACTACGTATGGAGCAAATGAAGAGTTTCAACATACGCACACACTTACACCACACACACACCTTACACACACACACACTTACACACACAACACACAGATTCCCAGTGTAGCCTGTAACAGACTGTTGGGGCAAGTGCTGTTAGCGAGTAGCAGCTCCTCACACACAGACACACTCACTCACACACAGACACAATCACTCACTCACACACAGACACACTCACTCACAGACCCACTCACTCACACACAGACACACTCACACACAGACACACTCACTCACATACAGACTCACTCACACACAGACACTCACAGACAGACACACTCACTCACTCCACACACGACACACTCACTCACACACAGACACACTCACACACAGACGCACTCACTCACTCACACACAGACGCACTTACTCACACACAGACACACTCACACACGAACACACAGACACACTCACTCACACACACACAGACACACTCACTCACACACACACCAGACACACTCACTCACACACAGACACACTCACCCACACACAGACACACTCACTCACACACACTCACACACAGGCACACAACTCACTCACTCACACTCACACACTCACACACAGACACACTCACACACGAACGTGTGTGCGTGCGTGCCGCAAGAGTCACCCACCACGAACTTGTCCCTCAGGTAGCGCATGCTGGGCACCTTGAAGTTGACATTTGGCAGGAAGACTTTTAGCTCCTTCATGCCCACACTGAGGAGACAGGGAGCACGTGAGAGTAGCCTGTGGGTCTCTCTGTGTGAGTCTGTGGGTCTCTGTGTGAGTCTGTGGGTCTCTGTGCGAGTCTGTGGGTCTCTCTGTGTGAGTCTGTGGGTCTCTGTGCGAGTCTGTGGGTCTCTGTGCGAGTCTATGGGTCTCTGTGTGAGTCTGTGGGTCTCTGTGTGAGTCTGTGGGTCACTGTGTGAGTCTGTGGGTCTCTGTGTGAGTCTGTGGGTCTCTGTGCGAGTCTGTGGGTCTCTGTGTGAGTCTGTGGGTCTCTGTGTGAGTAGTCTGTAGGTATCTCTGTGTGAGTCTGTGGGTCTCTGTGTGAGTAGTCTATGGGTCTCTGTGTGAGTCTGTGGGTCTCTGTGTGAGTCTTGGGTCTCTGTGTGAGTCTGTGGGTCTCTGTGTGAGTCTATGGGGTCTCTGTGTGAGTCTGTGGGTCTCTCTGTGTGAGTCTGTGGGTCTCTGTGTGAGTCTGTGGGTCTCTGTGTGAGTCTGTGGGTCTCTGTGTGAGTCTGTGAGTCTCTGTGTGAGTAGTCTATGGGTCTCTGTGTGAGTCTGTGGGTCTCTCTGTGTGAGTCTGTGGGTCTCTGTGCGAGTCTGTGGGTCTCTCTGTGTGAGTCTGTGGGTCTCTGTGTGAGTCTGTGGGTCTCTGTGCGAGTCTGTGGGTCTCTCTGTGTGAGTCTGTGGGTCTCTGTGTGAGTATGTGGGTCTCTGTGTGAGCTGTGGGTCTCTGTGTGAGTCTGTGGGTCTCTGTGTGAGTCTATGGGTCTCTGTGTGAGTAGTCTGTGGGTCTCTGTGTGAGTCTGTGGGTCTCTGTGTGAGTAGTCTATGGGTCTCTGTGTGAGTCTGTGGGTCTCTCTGTGTGAGTCTGTGGGTCTCTGTGTGAGTCTCTGTGTGAGTCTGTGGGTCTCTGTGTGAGTAGTCTATGGGTCTCTGTATGAGTCTGTGGTTATCTCTGTGTGAGTCTGTGTGAGTCTGTGGGTCTCTGTGTGAGTCTGTGGGTCTCTGTGTGAGTAGTCTGTGGGTCTCTGTGTAAGTCTGTGGTCTCTGTGTGAGTCTATGGGTCTCTCTGTGTGAGTCTGTGGGTCTCTGTGTGAGTCTGTGGGTCTCTGTGTGAGTAGTCTGTAGGTGTCTATGGGTCTCTGTGTGAGTCTGTGGGTCTCTGTGTGAGTCTGTGGGTCTCTGTGTGAGTCTGTGGGTCTCTGTGTGAGTCTGTGGGTCTCTGTGTGAGTAGTCTGTGGGTGTCTATGGGTCCTCTGTGTGAGTCTGTGGGTCTCTGTGTGAGTAGTCTGTGGGTGTCTATGGGTCTCTGTGTGAGTCTGTGGGTCTCTGTGTGAGTCTGTGGGTCTCTGTGTGAGTCTGTGGGTCTCTGTGTGAGTCTGTGGGTCTCTGTGTGAGTAGTCTGTGGGTGTCTATGGGTCTCTGTGTGAGTCTATGGGTCTCTGTGTGAGTCTGTGGGTCTCTGTGTGAGTCTGTGGGTCTCTGTGAGAGTCTGTGGGTCTCTGTGTGAATCTGTGGGTCTCTGTGTGAGTAGTCTATGGGTCTCTGTGTGAGTCTGTGGTTATCTCTGTGTGAGTCTGTGAGTCTGTGAGTCTGTGTTGAGTCTGTGGGTCTCTGTGTGAGTCTGTGGGTCTCTGTGTGAGTAGTCTGTGGGTCTCTGTGTGAGTCTGTGGGTCTCTTTGTGAGTCTGTGGGTCTCTGTGTGAGTCTATGGGTCTCTGTGTTAGTCTGTGGGTCTCTGTGTGAGTCTGTGGGTCTCTGTGTGAGTAGTCTGTGGGTGTCTATGGGTCTCTGTGTGAGTCTGTGGGTCTCTGTGTGAGTAGTCTATGGGTCTCTGTGTGAGTCTGTGGGTCTTTGTGAGAGTCTGTGGGTCTCTGTGTGAGTAGTCTGTGGGTCTCTGTGTGAGTAGTCTATGGGTCTCTGTGCGAGTCTGTGGGTCTCTGTGAGAGTCTGTGGGTCTCTGTGAGAGTCTGTGGGTCTCTGTGTGAGTAGTCTGTGGGTGTCTATGGGTCTCTATGGTGTGAGTCTAAAGGTCTATACTTGTGTAGTGTGTAGTAGTGTACTATATAGTAGTGTGTAGTGTATATTAGTGTGTAGTGGAATGTATAGTATGTGTGCAAGTGTGTGTGTGCATGCGTATGTGTGTGTGTATGTGCCTGTGTGTGTGCGTGTGCGCGTGTGTGCGTGTGCGCATGCCTGTGTGCGTGTGCCTGTGTGTGTATATGCCTGTGTGCGTGCGTGTGCCTGTGTGTGTGTGTGTGTGCGTGCGTGTGCCTGTGTGTGTATATGCCTGTGTGCGTGCCTGTGTGTGTGTGTGCGTGCGTATGCCTGTGTGTGTGCCTGTGTGTGTGTGTGCGTGTGCGCGTGTGTGCGTGTGCGCATGCCTGTGTGCGTGTGCGCATGCCTGTGTGCGTGCCTGTGTGTGTGTGTGCGTGTGCGTGCGTGTGCCTGTGTGTGTGAGTGCGGGGAGCGGATGGGCAGCGTTGGTGTAGTGCTTAGCGCTGCGCTGCGCTACGAACCCGGCTTATGACCCGAGTTCGATTCGCGCTCACGGCCAACACCGGTGACGATTATCTGAACCGGTCCTGGGCCTCCCCTAGGTCGACTCGGCCTCAAATGAGTTACCCGGTGCGGTGTGCAGTAAACATCGCCACACGGGCAGACCCAGCACCTGCTGGGTCTGTCCCGTGACCTCCTCCTCCTCCTGCACCTAGCCTGGCACAGCAGTCAACCCACGGCACCTGCTGGGTCTGTCCCGTGACCTCCTCCTCCTGCACCTAGCCTGGCACAGCAGTCAACCCATGGCACCTGCTGGGTCTGTCCCGTGACCTCCTCCTGCACCTAGCCTGGCACAGCAATCAACCCATGGCACCTGCTGGGTCTGTCCCGTGACCTCCTCCTCCTGCACCTAGCCTAGCACAGCAATCAACCCACGGCACCTGCTGGGTCTGCCACGTGACCTCCTCCTGCACCTAGCCTGGCACAGCAGTCAACCCACGGCACCCGCTGGGTCTGTCCCGTGACCTCCTCCTGCACCTAGCCTGGCACAGCAGTCAACCCACGGCACCTGCTGGGTCTGCCCCGTGACCTCCTCCTCCTGCACCTAGCCTGGCACAGCAGTCAACCCACGGCACCTGCTGGGTCTGCCCGGTGACCTCCTGCTCCTGCACCTAGCCTGGCACAGCAGTCAACCCACGGCACCTGCTGGGTCTGCCCCGTGACCTCCTCCTGCACCTAGCCTGGCACGGGCGGTGACGTCACCGCGGCTTCACTGGTATCGGTGGGCGCGCACCCGCCGGTTGCCGGGCGACGCCGCAGGAGGCCGTGGAGTTCCACCGACGGTTATCTTTGCCAGGAGGCCGGGATCTTTGCCGATAACGTACAAGCGGCTTCCTCCAGCCGGGCGAAAGGAAGCCGTTTGGAAGCCACCCACACCGACAACACACACACACCCACACACACACACCCACCACACACCCAGCCACACACACACACACACCCACACACACAACCCAGCCACACACACACACGCACACCCACACACTCCACCCCGCAGCCACACACACACACGCACCCAGCCACACCACACCCACACACGCACCCACCCACCTACCCAGCCACACACACACACAACCACACACCCCGCACCCACACACACAACACACCCAGCCACACACACCCACCCAGCCACACACACACCCACACCCAGCCACACATACACCCCACCCAGCCACACACACACACACACCCAGCCACACACACACACCCACCCAGCCACACACACACACCCACCCAACCACACACCCACACACAGCCAGCCACACATAGACCCCACCCAGCCACACACACCCAGCCACACACAGCCATCCACCCACATACCCACCACACCCACAAACCCACCCACACCCACCAACCCACCCACACCCACCAACCCACCCACACCCACCAACCCACCCACACCCACCAACCCACCCACACCCACCAACCCACCCACACCCACATACCCACCCACACCCACCAACCCACCCACACCCACCAACCCACCCACACCCACCAACCCACCCACACCCACCAACCCACCCACACCCACCAACCCACCAACACCCAGGCGGGGTCCAGGACCAGACCCGGCATGAGGGGGGAGAGAAGGCAAAACCACCACGGCGCCCACTCGGCCGGGAATCGATAACACATGTGTGTGTGTGTGTGTACACGTGTGTGTGTGTGTGTGTACGTGTGTGTACGTGTGTGTGTGTACGTGCATTTGTGTATGTACGTGCGTGTGTGTGTACGTGTGTGTGTGTGTACATGTGTGTGTGTCTACGTGCGTGTGTGTGTGTACGTGTGTGTGTACGTGCGTGTGTACGTGCGTGTGTGTGTGTACGTGCGTGCGTGTGTACGTGCATGTGTGTGTGTACGTGCGTGCGTGTACGTGTGTGTGTGTGTACGTGCATGTGTGTACGTGCATGTGTGTGTGTGTGTACGTGCGTGTGTGTGCCGGGTAAGGTCCTGGCAAGGATTATTCAACATCGCCTTTCTAGGCACGCTGAGGAGAGGCTTGCGGAGCCCCAATGCGGTTTCAGGAAAGGGCGGTCCTGTACAGATGCCATATTTTCTGTCCGTCTGCTACAGCAGAGGTGTAGGGAATTCCAAAAAGACCTACATCTCTGCTTTATTGACCTGGTCAAGGCCTATGATACCATCAGTAGGCCTGGGCTCTGGGTTGTTCTTCGTGCTTTCGGAGTCCCTGACCCTCTGCTCACGATCATTAAGGACCTTCATGATGGTGAGCGGGCCCGGGTAAAACTACGTGGCTGGGAGTCGGAGCCTTTCCCTGTACACCTTGGGGTGCGACAGGGATGTCCTCTGGCTCCCACATTATTTAACATCTATTTTGACTGCGTAGTTTGTGAAGCCTTCAATAGCTGTACCGGGGGAATTTCCATTTGGTACAGATATAATGGGAGGCTGATCGATGTCCGGGTGCGATCAAGGGATGGCTCCCTATTGGTCAACCACGTTATGTATGCCGATGATTTGGTAATAGCTGCTCATTCAGAGGAGGAGTTGGGAGACGCTGCTGCTGAGACTGGAGCATGCCACTAAGAGGTGGGGCCTTACCATCAGCCCCACCAAAACTCAGCACCTGCCTGGGTATTTTGTACCATCGGACACTCCACCCCCACAACTCCCAATCGGCGATGGGGCAGTTGTGGAGAGAGTGGAGAGTTTCCCATACCTGGGCAGTGTGTTTATGACCGGCTCCAGTTTAACAGCAGAGGTCAGTCGAGCGGCAATATCTTTTCATTGGTTGCGTAACGCTGTTTGGAAGCTACCTGGTCTGTCGCTCCGCACGAAGCTTCAGGTCTTCTCGGCCACAGTCATTCCCTCCCTTCTCTACGCTTGTGAAACGTGGACCCCCCTAATGGAACATCTTCGCCGGTTGGAAACATTTAGGCTGGCCTGCCTACGATCCATCATGGGTTTAGCCAGGCTGGATTGTGTGAGGAGCTCACAAATCGTTGAAAGATCTGGACAAAGTCGCATCTGTGAGCTCCTCCGGCAGGCAAGGCTGCGTTCGCTGGGCCATGTAGCCCGCATGCCCAGCTACCGCATGCCTAAACAGCTTTTGTTCGGCCGGATCGAGGGGGCTAAACGGGCGCGGCACAGGCTAGAGAAGAGATGGAGTGACGTGGTACAGGAGGACGTGGAGCTGAGTGAACTTGCCGATGACCGGTACCAGCGGTGTCAAGATCGGCCTCTGTGGAGGAGGCTCGTGAAGGACGCTACTGGGCAGTTGGAGGCAGTCGCCCTCCAACAACAACGGAGGGCGGAGGAGCGACGCTCACAACAACGAGCGGAGCGCCGGGTGGCCAAAGCACAGCGAGTTGGCACAATGGGGGCACAGGTGGTGCATCAGCCAGTCATCTCAGTCAGTCGACCCGTGGCACCTGCTGGGTCTGCCCCGTGACCTCCTGCCAGCGGGCGTTCAACACTTCACATGGCCTCAAGGTGCACATAGCCTGGCACAAGCGTCGTAGTGACGTCACCGCCACTTAGTGGCGAATGGCGGTTGTTGTTGCTGCTGTGTGATGAGTCTATGGGTCTCTGTGTGAGTAGTCTATGTGTCTCTGTGTGGGTAGTCTGTGGGTCTCTGTGTGATGAGTCTATGGGTCTCTGTGTGGGTAGTCTGTGGGTCTCTGTGTGAGTAGTCTGTGGGTCTCTGTGTGGGTAGTCTGTGGGTCTCTGTGTGAGTAGTCTATGGGTCTCTGTGTGAGTAGTCTATGGGTCTGTGTGAGTAGTCTGTGGGTCTCTGTGTGAGTAGTCTATGGGTCTCTGTGTGAGTAGTCTATGGGTCTGTGTGAGTAGTCTATGTGTCTCTGTGTGGGTAGTCTATGGGTCTCTGTGTGAGTAGTCTATGGGTCTCTGTGTGAGTAGTCTATGGGTCTGTGTGAGTAGTCTATGGGTCTCTGTGTGAGTAGTCTATGGGTCTCTGTGTGGGTAGTCTATGGGTCTCTGTGTGAGTAGTCTATGGGTCTCTGTGTGAGTAGTCTATGGGTCTCTATGGAGGTGCTGGCAGGGGGAGGTTCGTGTTGGTGGCTGGACTCACGTGTTGCCGCGGTTACGATCCAACGAGTAGAACTGTTTCCTCAACCACCTGCGAAGGAATGCAGAGAGCCATAGACTCATCACACAGCAGAGAGCCATAGACTCATCACACAGCAGAGACCCACAGACTCATCACACAGCAGAGTGTGTGTGTGTGTGCATGAGGGAGTGTGTGTGTGTGTGTGAGTGAGGGAGCGAGTGTGTGTGCGAGCGAGCGAGTGAGCGTGCGAGTGTGTGAATGTGGGAGTGAGTGAGCGTGTGAGTGTACGTGCGAGTGTGTGTGCAAGTGTGGGAGTGAGCGAGCGAGTGAGTGTGCGTGCGAGTGTGGGAGTGAGCGAGCGTGTGTGTGTGCGTGCGTGCGAGTGTGCGTACGAGCGAGGGTGTCCGTGCGTGCGTGTGTGTCCGTGTGTGCGTGCGTGCACGTGCGTGTGTCCGTGCGTGCGCGCGAGCTGACCGGCGTACCGTTCGATCTGCAGGGGCGTGGCGGACTTCTGTGTGTCGGCCACAAACCACTGCAGGCCCATCAGCCAGATCTTCACATCCTCCCGCGTCAGGGCTGGAAGGGTGCGATTACACACAAACAAAAAACAAAGATCCCCCATAAAGCCTTAACAGACTGTAGGGGCAAGTGCTGTTAGCGAGCACCTATGAAGGCCGGCACGGCACACGAGGGGGTGGGTGGCCAGCACCACGCCCGACCGCCTTTGTCTCCCCAGTGGCGATGTTTACACACCTCACCAGGTACTCATTTGAGGCTGAGTCGACCTAGGGGAGGCCCATGACCGGTTCAGATAATCGTCACCGGTGTTGGCCGTGAGCGGGAATCGAACCCGGGTCGCTGGGTTCATAGCACAGTGCGCTAACCGCTGTACCACCGCTCCCCCCACACACACACACGCGTACACACACACGCACACACACGTACACACACACACACGCACACACACACACGCACACACACACAGGCACACACAGGCACACACACGCACGCACACACGCATGCACACGCACACACACGCACACAAAGATCCCCCGTGTAGCTTTAACAGACTGTAGGGGCAAGTGCTGTTAGCGAGCGGCACCTACGAAGGCTACCGGCACGGTGGCACACGAGGGGGTGGGTGGCCAGCATCACGCCCGGCCGCCTTTGTCTCTCCCCCAGTGGCGATGTTTACTACTACACCACCGCTACACCAGGTAACTCATTTGAGGCCGAGTCGACCTAGGGGAGGCCCAGGACCGGTTTAGAAAATCGTCACTGGTGTTGGCCGTGAGCGGGAATCGAACTCGGGTCGCCGGGTTCGTAGCGCAGCGTAGTGCTAACCACTGCCCCACCACTCCCCAACACACATGCGCACACACACGCACGCATACACACGCACGCATACACACGCACACACACATACACACAGAGACACAAAGACAAAGGTCCCCCGTGTAGCCTCTAACAGGCTGTCGGGGCAAGTGCTGTTCGTAGCGAGTAGCAACAGCAGTGTCTATAGACACTCAGTGGGACCTTAGCTGCTCAACTAAAAAAAAATGTCGTTTTTGGTGTAGAGATGTTGACTACCTCGCCTGGTATGCAGGAGGTCGTGGGTTCGATCCAGACCCCTGACGATGCCTGCTGCTACTGCTGTACATGTGGAGTCTGCGTCTCTCATCATCATAATCACGGTGACTAGGAGATGTTGACTACCTCGCCTGGTCTACAGGAGGTCCTGGTCTACAGTAGTTCGTGGGTTCGATCCCTGCTGCTGTATATGTGGAGTCTGTGTCTCTCTCATCATCATCATCATCACCACAGTGGCTTGGAGATGTTGACTACCTCGCCTGGGCTACAGGAGGTCGTGGGTTCGATCCCGACCCCTGACAATGCCTGCTGCTGCTGCTGTTGTCTATGTGGAGTCTGCGTCTCTCTCCCCGTGGCGGTCACCGCCTCTAGAATGGAAGTCGCCATGCCCTCAGAGTTATTCGGCCGCTGCTCTGAATTCTAACAGCCGTGACGACAGCAATGACAGCAGCCACCTGGGGGGGCTGCTGTCATTCGTCATCGCTACGTGGTGTTTCTGTGGGTCTCTGTGTGTCTCTGTGTGTCTCTGTGGGTCTCTGTGGGTCTCTGTGGGTCTCTGTGGGTCTCTATGGGTCTCTATGATGGGTCTCTATGATGGGTCTCTATGTGTTTATGTGGGTCTCTGTGTCTCTATGATGGGTCTCTATGTGTTTCTGTGGGTCTCTATGTGTCTCTGTGGGTCTCTGTGTGTCTCTATGATGGGTCGCTGTGGGTCTCTATGTGTTTCTGTGGGTCTCTGTGGGTCTCTATGTGTTTCTGTGGGTCTCTGTGTCTCTATGATGGGTCTCTGTGGGTCTCTATGGGGCTCTGCGTGTCTCTGTGTATCTATGTGTTGCTATGCGACTCTATGGGTCTCTGTGTATCTATGGGTCTCGATGGGTCACTATGTGTCTCTATGTGTCTCTATCATCTGTGATGGTGGTGATGTATGATGATGGTGGTGATGATTGTGATGATGGTGGTGATGGTGCTGATGGTGATGATGGTGGTGATGGTGATGGTGGTGATGATGATGGTGATGATGATGATGGTGGTGGTGATGATGGTGGTGGTGATGATGGTGGTGGTGGTGATGGTGATGATGATGGTGGTGGTGGTGGTGGTGATGATGGTGGTGGTGGTGATGGTGATGATGATGGTGGTGATGATGATGATGGTGATGATGATGATGGTGGTGGTGGTGATGGTAGTGGTGGTGATGATGATGATGGTGGTGATGGTGATGATGATGATGGTGGTGGTGATGATGATGATGATGGTGGTGGTGATGATGATGATGGTGGTGGTGATGATGATGATGATGGTGGTGGTGATGGTGGTGATGGTAGTGATGGTGGTGATGGTAGTGATGATGATGGTGGTGGTGATGGTGGTGATGGTAGTGATGGTGGTGATGGTAGTGATGATGATGGTGGTGGTGATGATGATGATGATGGTGGTGGTGATGATGATGATGGTGGTGGTGGTGGTGATGGTGGTGATGATGGTGGTGATGGTGATGATGGTGATGATGGTGGTGATGGTGATGATGGTGGTGATGGTGATGGTGGTGATGATGGTGGTGATGGTGATGATGGTGATGATGGTGGTGATGGTGATGATGGTGATGATGATGGTGGTGATGGTGGTGATGGTGGTGATGATGATGGTGGTGATGGTGGTGGTGGTGATGGTGATGATGGTGATGATGGTGATGATGGTGATGGTGGTGATGGTGGTGATCATGGTGATGGTGGTGATGATGATGGTGGTGATGGTGGTGATGATGGTGATGATGGTGATGATGGTGGTGGTGATGGTGATGATGGTGGTGATGGTGGTGATGGTGGTGATGACGATGGTGGTGATGGTGGTGTGTGTGTGTGAGCTGCTATCATCTGCGATGGACCAGGTGGATTCTGTAAAAGATCTCCTACACAGTAGCTCGGTGGGGCATTACAGCTGGTAACATAAACACGTGGGTAGGTGGGTGAGTGGGTGGGTGAGTGGGTGGGTGAGTGAGTGAGTAGGTGGGTGAGTGGGTGAGTGGGTGGGTGACTGGATGAGTGAGTGAGTGGGTGGGTGAGTGGGTGGGTGAGTGGGTGACTGGGTGGGTGAGTGGGTGAGTCAGTGGGTGAGTGGGTGGGTGAATGGGTGGATGGGTGAGTGTGTGGATGGCTGGGTGGGTGAGTGTGTGGATGGCTGGGTGGGTGAGTGGATGACATGTACACACACACGTACATACATACACACACACGAATGCAGCTACTTCCTCAAGGAGTAGTAACTTTGCAAACCAAAGTGGCGATTGTGAACTTGCTGTAAATATCTTAGCGGCGAAAGAAGAATGATAAAAATTCGTTCAGTATTCATGACCCCGCTCTAGTATTTGTGCGTGTGTGTGTCGCGTGTGTGTCGCGCGTGTGTGTGTCGTCTGTGTGTGTGTCGTCTGTGTGTGTGTCCGTGTGTATTTTGTCAATGTGTGTGTGTCCTTGTGTATGTGTCCGTGTGTATGTCTGTGTGTCCGTATGTGTCTTTGTGTATGTGTGTCTGTCTGTCTGTGTGTGTCTGTCTGTGTCTGTGTGTCTGTCTGTGTCTGTGTGTGTCTGTGTGTGTCTCTGTGTGTCTGTGTGTGTCTGTGTGTGTCTGTCTGTGTGTGTGTCTGGCACAAGCGTCGTGGTGACGTCACCGCCACTTAGTGGCGAATGGCGGTTGTTGTTGTGTCTGTCTGTGTGTGTCTGTCTGTGTGTCTGTCTGTGCGTGTCTCTGTCGGCCGGGCGTGGTGCTGGCCACCCACCCCCTCAGGTGCCACCGCACCGGTAGCCTTCACAGGTGCTGCTGCTACTCGCTACTGACAGCACTTGCCCCTACAGCCCTGTTAGAGGCTACGCAGGGGATCTTTGACTTTGTCAGTGGGTTTAGTGAACTGCTGGGTGCAATCATGCATGGACACAGCGGGTGAGTGTACGGGTGAGTTAGTGAATGAGCGGGTGAGCGTACGGGTGAGTTAGTGAGTGAGCGTATGGGTGAGTTAGTGAGTGAGTAGGTGAGCGTACAGGTGGGTGAGTGAGTGTGTGAGTGAGTGAGCGGGTGAGCGTACGGGTGAGTTAGTGAGTGAGCGGGTGAGCGTACAGATGAGTGAGCGGGTGAGCATACGGGTGAGTTAGTCAGTGAGCGGGTGAGCGTACGGATGACTGAGTGAGCGGGTGAGCATATGGGCGAGTGAGTGAGCGGGTGAGTGTACGAGTGAGTGAGCGGGTGAGCGTATGGTTGAGTGAGCGGGTGAGCGGGTGAGTGAGTGAACGGATGAGTGAGCGTATGGTTGAGTGAGTGAGTGAGCGGGCGAGTGAGTGAGTGAGCGGGTGAGTGAGCGTATGGTTGAGTGAGTGAGCAGGTGAGCGAGTGAGTGAGTGAGCGGGTGAGTGAGCGTATGGTTGAGTGAGTGAGTGAGTGGGTGAGTGAGTGAGTGAGTAAGCGGGTGAGTGAGTGGTTGAGTGAGTGAGTGAGCGGGTGAGTGAGTGAATAAGCGGGTGAGTGAGTGGTTGAGTGAGTGAGTGAGCGGGTGAGTGAGTGAGTGGTTGAGTGATTGAGTGGTTGAGTGAGTGAGTGGTTGAGTGAGTGGTTGAGTGAGTGAGTGGTTGAATGAGTGGTTGAGTGAGTGAGTGGGTGAGTGAGTGGTTGAGTGAGTGAGTGTATGGTTGAGTGAGCGAGTGGTTGAGTGAGTGAGTGAGCGGGTGAGCATACGGGTGAGTGAGTGAGTGGTTGAGTGAGTGAGTGAGCATACGGGTGAGTGAGTGAGTGAGTGAGCGGGCGAGTTACCGGCGACGCTGAGGGTATGGTTGAGTGAGTGAGTGGTTGAGTGAGCGAGTGGTTGAGTGAGCGGGCGAGCGGGTGAGTGAGTGGTTGAGTGGTTGAGTGAGTGGTTGAGTGAGTGGTTGAGCGAGTGAGTGAGTGGGTGAGTGGTTGAGCGAGTGAGTGAGCGGGTGAGCATATGGGCGAGTGAGTGAGCGGGTGAGTGTACGAGTGAGTGAGCGGGTGAGCGTATGGTTGAGTGAGCGGGTGAGCGGGTGAGTGAGTGAACGGATGAGTGAGCGTATGGTTGAGTGAGTGAGTGAGCGGGCGAGTGAGTGAGTGAGCGGGTGAGTGAGCGTATGGTTGAGTGAGTGAGCAGGTGAGCGAGTGAGTGAGCAGGTGAGCGAGTGGTTGAGTGAGTGAGTGAGCGGGTGAGTGAGCGTATGGTTGAGTGAGTGAGTGAGTGGGTGAGTGAGTGAGTGAGTGGTTGAGTGAGTGAGTGAGCGGGTGAGTGAGTGAGTGGTTGAGTGATTGAGTGGTTGAGTGAGTGAGTGGTTGAGTGATTGAGTGGTTGAGTGAGTGAGTGGTTGAGTGAGTGGTTGAGTGAGTGAGTGGTTGAATGAGTGGTTGAATGAGTGAGTGGGTGAGTGAGTGGTTGAGTGAGTGAGTGTATGGTTGAGTGAGCGAGTGGTTGAGTGAGTGAGTGAGCGGGTGAGCATACGGGTGAGTGAGTGAGCGGTTGAGTGAGTGAGTGAGCATACGGGTGAGTGAGTGAGTGAGCGGGCGAGTTACCGGCGACGCTGAGGGTATGGTTGAGTGAGTGAGTGGTTGAGTGAGCGAGTGGTTGAGTGAGCGGGCGAGCGGGTGAGTGAGTGGTTGAGTGGTTGAGTGAGTGGTTGAGTGAGTGGTTGAGTGAGTGGTTGAGCGAGTGAGTGAGTGGGTGAGTGGTTGAGTGAGTGGTTGAGTGAGTGAGTGGTGAGTGAGTGAGTGGTGAGTGAGTGAGCGGCTGAGTGAGTGAGTCAGTGGTTGAGTGAGTGAGTGTGTGGTTGAGTGAGTGAGTGGTTAAGTGGTTGAGTGAGTGGTTGAGTGAGTGGTTGAGTGAGTGAGTGAGCGGGCGAGTGGTTGAGTGAGTGGTTGAGTGAGTGAGTGGTTGAGTGAGTGAGTGGTTGAGTGAGTGAGTGGTTGAGTGAGTGAGTGGTTGAGTGAGTGAGCGAGTGAGTGAGTGAGCGTATGGTTGAGTGAGTGAGTGGTTGAGTGAGTGAGTGGTTGAGTGAGCGGGTGAGTGGTTGAGTGAGTGAGTGGTTGAGTGAGTGAGTGGTGAGTGAGTGAGTGAGTGGTGAGTGAGTGAGTGAGCGGGTGAGTGAGTGAGTGGTTGAGTGAGAGAGTGGCTGAGTGAGTGAGTGAGTGGTTGAGTGAGTGAGTGGTTGAGTGAGTGAGTGAGTGGTTGAGTGAGTGAACGGGTGAGTGAGTGAGTGAGCGTATGGTTGAGTGAGTGGGTGAGTGAGTAAGTGAGTGGGTGAGTGAGTGAGTGAGCGGGTGAGCGAGCGTGTGGTTGAGTGAGTGAGTGGTTGAGTGAGTGAGTGAGCGTATGGTTGACTGAGTGAGTGGGTGAGTGAGTGAGTGAGCAAGTGAGTGAGTGGTTGAGTGAGTGAGCGAGTGAGTGAGTGAGCGTATGGTTGAGTGAGTGAGTGGTTAAGTGGTTGAGTGAGTGGTTGAGTGAGTGAGTGGTTGAGTGAGCGGGTGAGTGAGTGGGTGAGTGAGTGAGCGTATGGTTGAGTGAGTGAGTGGTTAAGTGGTTGAGTGAGTGGTTGAGTGAGTGAGTGAGTGGTTGAGTGAGCGGGTGAGTGAGTGGGTGAGTGAGTGAGTGGGTGAGTGGTTGAGTGAGTGGTTGAGTGAGTGGGTGAGTGGTTGAGTGAGTGGTTGAGTGAGTGGTTGAGTGAGTGGTTGAGTGAGTGGTTGAGTGAGTGGTTGAGTGGTTGAGCGTGTGGTTGAGTGAGTGAGCGGGCGAGTTACCGGCGACGCTGAGGGTGCGTAGGCGGAACTCGGAGCCGTAGAGGATGACGAGGCAGAGGGACGAGTCCACGTCCTCCACCACGCGGTCAAAGTCACGTGACTGCCGCCCCTCCCGCACCTCGCGGATCTCGCGGATGTCGACTGGGACACGGGCGGATGGTGAGGAGAGGGGGGAGGGGGTGAGGAGGGGTGAGGAGAGGGGGGGGGGGGG